TCCTTCGTGAAAACTTTCTAAAGGAATCCGGCTGGTATTCATATTACACATGTGGAAATATCACTCGAAATATATTTTTAAGGGTGCTTATTTCCCTGCAGTTTCTATTCCAAGCGATTAAAGTAACGAAAGAATCTATTAAAGTTCTGATTCAATAATTTTACACTATGAGCGATAATGTGGAAAATTTTAGGTTCCACCATATACGCTAATGCAATATAAGCACCTTCTGTCCCAAAATTTCAGCGCATATTTCCTGGTGCAAGCATTACATAGGTAATTCCATTGGATAACTCGCAGTTACTCTCCTAGGGATAGCCACTTGATAACCTTTGAAGAAGAAAACATGCGTAAAAGAAAAGACAAACAATAACTGTGATTAAATGCTTTTTACAAAAATTTATGCAACAATTTTTACAGTTAAATGCTTTACACAGCAATTAATTTACGTAACTAAATAAATTCATTATGCAGATACAACTGCTTAGAAAATATAAGTGAATTGTAAACAGTATTTTTTCTCTTATTTGTAATACAAGTTATTATTTTTCTTCGCGTTTCTGTAACTGCTCTTGGATTAACCGTGATTTTGAGTTAACCATTAACATCGTCGAGGCAATACCCCGATTAACTGGGAGTCGACAGTCATTTTTAATGCATTATGTGTAAGAGATTTAACTGTTTACTTCGTAACAAAAGCCTCCACCAGCGGCCTAACGGTAATATCTCTGAACGCTGGTAGTCCGACCCGAGTTCGCATTTCGTCAAAAGGGCTGGCAGCCTGGGAGTTTTCATGGCTTTCCTCATGCGTAAAGTGGATACGACCCAGTTTCTTTTAAAACGTTCTCCACGAAGGCATTCCTTCCCATATGCAGATAACCCCCAAAATGTTTTGTACTAGTTGCTTAGCCATCATAAAAGCACATACATGAGACGAATTTTTCGTAGGAAAAGAAAAATAAAAGTACTTATGCGGAAGATTGTACGGATGTATTCTTTCTTTGTATCCCTTCCTAAAAATCAAGGTGTGAACATTACACGAGAATATACATATCGTGACTACACAGCCTACATGCACAGAAATACAGCACAGGTATAAAAAAAAAAAAAAAAAAAAGAATCATATTGCTGCTAAGCCTATAACCGTCCGGTACAATCTTTGCGGGTTCTAAATTCTACTGTGCAGTGTCTCCCTAAATTCTAAAAAATTTGCCAGCCTCAAATTCTGCTGCGCAGTGCCTCCCTTAAATTTTAAAAATTCTGCCATCCGTAAATTTTGCAGCTTGATGCTTATCTAAATTCTAAAACTTTTGTGCTCGTAAGTTTTGCCATCCCAGTGTGGCCGCAACAGTTGAACGGGCTCTGGCACCGGCCCTCTTTATATCAAATATTGTTACTGGGACATATTTAAGCGTGATGCATCAAATTAAACTATCTAAGTTTCTTGTTACACATTCCAGATACTCTATAGGAAATTTTTTAACCATGTCACAAGTATCTAGTTTAAAGAAGCAAACCACAAAGGTATCTTAACTGGCCGAAACTGCCGGCTTTTTATTCGCGAATTTTTGTTTTAGTCCAAAGGGGCTTTGTCCCTGAAGGACTATTGTTTTCGTTTCGCGATTTGGCATTGAATCATTATAAACGATTATTTATTAAATATCAAGTTCGTCGCACTTAAACCATAAAATTCAGTTCAACAGCAATATCGCAAAATAGTTTAAAATGAGCATATCTTTAGAATTTCCGATTCAGAGACTCACGCGCTGGAGATAAAATGTTTTTTCTGTACAACGTTGCCATGGCTCACTTTGAAATCCTTGAGTTTGTTACGATACATCGCGAAATTTAACGATAATAATCGTTTCACTTTCCAAACTGTTGCCACCAAATGTTAGAGTCGTCCTGCATTATATTTGAAGAAATTAAATAATAAAAATTCTGCATAAATGTATGTATATTTCTCGCATTGTGATAAAACAACGGTGCATAGAACCAACGAATTTTGAATGACGTAATCCTCCTAGGAATATGGGCATATGGAAGACCAACTTTGAAATTTGAAATTTGTTTTATTATCGATTTCATATTTTGTAAAAACTTTAACGAATTTTTGATTAACAAACTCAAGGATTTCAAAGCGAGCCAATGGCAACGTTGTACAGAAAAAACATTTTATCCAGCGCGTGAGTCTCTGAATCGGAAATTCTAAAGATATGCTCATTTTTAAACTATTTTGCGATATTGCTGTTGAACTGAATTTTATGGTTTAAGTGCGACGAACGTGATATTTAATAAATAAATGTAACACACAAAATGCTAAAAAAAGTCCCTTTGGACGTAATTTAAAATCTAAAACCTTTCAGTTTTTCTTTCTTTCTTTCCTTCTTTTTTTTTTTTTTTTTTTTGGTGTGTGTGTGTGTGTGTGTGTGTGTGGAGAATGGTATGCTAAAAGATATTGCTTTCGTGCTACCATTACCATCCGATCTTAAACCAAAAACCTGCATTATATATACTGTCGTGTTAATCAGACGTGATATGCTTTAGCGTGTGTGGATTGGAAATGTTCTATAGACTGGAAATTTAACGCGTGATAAAAGGATCTCCACTCAGCATCTACAAGATATTTATAAATAAATGGTGCGGTTTTAAAAATTAATAATAAATTTATGTATTACTTTATACGGGCAAACCTTGCAGCATAAGTAGAGGCGACTGTCCAAGTTTTTTAATGCATTAATCGCAATCCTTCAGTATGTGCACCCTTGGTCACACGACACATCTACACAGTAATCAAATTCTTCCCATACTCGGTGTAACATGTCCGCCGTGATGGTCTGCAGTGTATGCTCTATCCGACCCCAAACTTCCTCAAGGAACATGGGCAATTGGAGGTCTATAAAGTCGATATTTAACAAACCCCCAAATAAAGAAATCGCATGGAGTTAATTCCGGAGAACGGGGTGGCCAGAGAAAAAGGTTGCTGTCTGCTGTTGCAGGACGTCCAACCCAGCGTTCGTGAAGAACATGATTAAGAAGCTCTCATATATTCCTGTGAAAATGGGACGGAGCACCGTCCAGTTGTAAAATATAATCATCATTACATTTTGCAACCGCTAGGTTCAGCTAGGAAAACACCCAGGTTTCCAACATGGCTAGAAATAAGCAATCACAATTTCTTGTTCGAAGAAAAATAGGCCATGCACTTTCTCGTAGGACACCGTACAGAAAACAAGCACGAAATTCACACTGCTTTCAAACCACAGATCTGGACGCCTCAAAACGGAGCACAAAGAGAGTCTTTTCCTGTTGCGGCGCCATCTTGAAAACTGACGCTGCGGCTGCGCAGTAAGAATGATAAGCAAACAGCAGGTAGCACATGAGAAAGCTGGACAGTTGCCAATGATTGCGGTGTAGGGTTTGCACGGGGAAGATAATACATCGATTTATTATTAACTTTTAAAACTCCACCATTCATTTATAAACAGCCTGTATAATATGTGACCAGAAATCTTTGTAACATATATAATACGATGTTTCTTTTTGACATTCCCTGCATGTCAGCAGGAACACAGGAATGCTATGTGTACCAGCAAGCTCATGAAATGTCCTATATGTTGATGCTTTTAGGTGCTCTGATATCTAACACAAAAACCGAATTTTCAGCCTGAATATACCGATTTGTTGCAACGAAGACATTACAGCTTTCGAAACGAAGAATCATCAAACCCTTTCTTGGTTTCTTTGGTCGAATACACAAAACACGCAATATACAATTCTGAGATAGTCTCTTACTAACAGTGCGGGGCTACCAGTGGCTGAAAGAGTGACTGTCAAATACTTTAAATTCATCCCGAATGCGATTTGCAGCGAGTAGATTAGCTGCATAGGATTTTCGTGGTTTTAATACGAGTGACGTGAATATGAGACATCTCGAATTCGACGTAAATACAAGTTCATTAAGAAATCCTCCACGAAGACATCGCAGATAGTCCTTCTTTGCTTTGCCATAGTCAATAAACCATCCAAATAATCAACAGTGCACATAGTTAGAACAAATTTTAGTATCAATGAGAAAGGCTTAAAATTAATACGTCTCTTTCCTTATTTATAATTATCTAAGACAACTGCTTTGAAAATGTTACATTAATTAAACAGGGAGTTCTTAATAGAATACATATTATATGTGTATGTACTTTCTACAGTGCTAGCGCAAAAACGCTATGTGATATGAAAATATTACACTATAACATAAATGTAATATTCCAATACAGTCTTTTACAATTCAGAATACTATATGTTAATAACAGCAATATATTCTTAACTTGTATTGAGAAGCTCACAGTTCAACAAGTCGATCATTATTAGGCCGTTCTTACGAATTTAGAAATATAATTAATAGACAATTAATTTGTTTATTATAGCAAACCAGAAAGATAAAATATCAGCCGAAAGCTTTCTGCTTTTTTAAGGCCGAATTAATTTTAATAAATATAATAATTATTAATAAATGCAACATCTCTACTTCAGTTCATTTTTATTTTAGGTTTTTTTTTTTTTTTATAAGCATTTCAGTAAACAGACAATGAACAACCTTTAATACAATGTAACATCCTAAAGTGAACTTCAAAGAGCAACAAAATCTAGTCTTAACTTGGATCGATTGCTAATAAAACAGCTGTATCCCGTCAGATTGTTTTATAAATTCCTAAGAGCCTTTGAATAAAACCCTTAGCTAAAACTAAATTTTGCACATTTTAAAAGTTTTGGAAATTAATAACTGTGTAATACTACCCAGCACTTACAGTTCACTGAAACATGAATTTTGTATATTAGTATAGATTTTTAGAAAACTGTCACTGTGGTACCATATAGAAAGTAGGCCACACATTATATAACTGATGCAACTTTTAGTGTTAAAAATATACTGACTATATAATAAACAGTATGACATAAAAGAAGCAAAGCAAACTAAAAGAGAGACAAAATTTTTGAATTACCTGAAATCTGAGCTTCATGTCGAAAACAAAAGTCATCATCTAAACAAGCGAGCGCGAACTCTCCTCCTCCGTGCACCGCCACTCAGCTGTCTGCGAAAAGTAACGGGTTTTCAGCTTTTCATCTATTCTAACCCACGTGATACCGTAACACCACGCCCTCTGTTGACGTCATGCCGGAAGAAGAGCGGCCAGTAGTAAAACCAGCATAATAGCGCACAAATATGAGCTCTTCTCCACGTGGTTTTTGGAGTAGATTTATTGACATCTAAGGATCAAGGTCCTTTAGTTCGCTTTGTTTGTGATTCCACTGCGCCGATGTTGTAACGGTTTCTGTTTCGTTATTTCTTAACTTTTCGATTTATCGAAACAAACACAAAATAGTTTATCCAAACAGGTACAAAGCAAAATCCGAGAAATTATGAGAAAATTTTTATGTACATTGCAACAGAAATTTGGAAATATTTTTGAATAAACTGTATAAGTTTTGTGTAAGTATATATATAATATATATATATATATATATATATATATATATATAAATTATATTAATAACTTGTTATGTGCCAATACGCTTTATTTACTTTTTTTTTTTTTTTTTTTTTTCTAGTTGCAGAATAATTACCAACATCTATTAATAGCTCTTCGTTAAAAAAGCATTTTAAAACATATTTAATGTGAATTTCAATCTCAAGATTTTTTTTTAAATTTATCAGATGTTCTAGACGTTGTTGAAAGGTATCAAGATATTATTAAGAATCATATTCTTTGTAAACTTTGTTACTCTTAGAGGTAAGTGCAGTTATGACTGAAAGATAAAGATCTTAGCTGCATGGATTGATAAAAACCCTGACAAAAATATCACGATATGCCATATGTGTAGGTAACTAAATTTCATCAGAAACGGAAGGATTTCATAAAGAAAATATTTAAATTTATTTCGTAAATATATTGAATTAAAATTAATTAAAAAAAAACTTACTCGAAATCTTTTTTGTGTGAACGCATATAGAGGGCCAATGCATATATTCATGCTCAAACAATGTTTTTTTTTAAAGGAACGTGAAAAAAATGGCCATCGTTGAGCGACCATTTTTCTTTCATGAGGCATAATTTATCCAGTTAAGTGCATCTGAAAGCTTTTGAAAGTGTACGTTTGCTCCTTTATTATTTCAGTTTATGACCAAAACTATGATAATGATAATAATAAAATAATAAACCAAACTGTTATTTTTGAAACGTCTTTTACTATGTACTTGGGTAAATGTCCTAAAATATCTTTAGTTAAATATATTATAAAATATATCAGTTAAATGCATTATTAACGATAATAGATTGATATAGTAATGAAATAAAATAAAAAAATTAATTATTAAAAAGTACATTTCATAGGTTTAAATCAATCAGTTTGTTAAGCAATTGTAGTAATAATTTGAAAGATAAATTTAATATCTTGTTCTACATTGAATAGCAATACTCTACGAACTGGCTATTTGCCAGATTGCGTAGAAGATAAAAGTAGGAATGTTACTTTTTAACTACTTCTGCCTTGGTTTCTAAAAGGTTATGTTACATAACACTAAGTACTGTTACATAACACTACCTTTATGTTATGTAACAGTAACACCTGCTAAGTTGTTTAGATGATAAATGTCACAAAGGAGTAACAACAGCAGTAAGAGCCGCAAAATTAAAAAAAAGACTTCGATATATGTATTTAACGTAAAAATGAGAGCTTAAAGTGTACACGGTATGCACATAGAACAATAATGCTACAGAACCGAGGCAACATCTAAGACGCGAAGCGGTTTTTGCCTGGCAGGTTTTTTTTCCTTTCTTTTGGATCCCGACGAAGGAATCCGAAGAAATGGTTAGTAGATTAGACACAGATTTTTTTCAAGTTACGACAAATCCATGGTAATATAACGGTACTGTCCCGTTTAAAATACAGCATATGATCAGTTTATGTATGCACCAAAAATCTCCAGAATCCCAGATTAAAAATATTTCTCTTTTTCCAGGTTTAAATTTCAAAGTTGGCCTTCCTTTAAGATTATTTATTTCCTCCGCCTTTATCTATCTAGACAGTGCTGAACTCATAGCCTTGTTTCTTGATTTGTTTAGGAATTTCCAAGAGCAGGTATAAGTACACCAGTTATTAATGAAGTACTCCGCCCATAAGAAGCCATTAAATGCATCTCTCGCCTCGTGCGGGAATGCTTAAAAAAAAAAAAAATAAGAATATTTTTTTTTTTTTTTTTTTTTTTTTTTTTTTTGAAATGTGAAAGAAAATAAAACAGAAGAAATAAAGAACAAGTTCTTATTAGTTAATATTATTAGAAATTTGACATTAAGATTTCAAAAGCTCTTTGAGAAATTTAAAACGCGATACAAATATCATGAATTAAAAAGCAAAACTACAATGTACAATAACCATTAATATTAAAATTAATTAAGAAATAAAATTAAAATTGCATTAAAAATGATCCTAGAGGAAAAATTGAAAAAAAAAAAAAAAAAAAGACTAGAAACAGGAAGACTTTATTGAATGATTAATACAGCTACGAACTCTGAAGTTTTTCAAAATACTCAGAAACTACAAAAACAGATCTCTCATTAAGGGCAACCACTATAAAGTCTGTAAAGTGAACTAAAACAACAAAAGATCGAAGAAACCTCCTTAATTAGCTGGTGCATATTTCGTCGCATTCCGTCGTAGGTTTATGAATAATAGAATCTCTTACTCAATCAAATGCGGTATTTAATATTATCAAAGTTCGCTGGAATTCGAACCCCGAACTAAACTACCAGTGTTCAGCGACTTTACCCCTCGACCGCTTATGCGCCCTAGAGATTCTTGATTCTTTTGTTGAGGAATAACTAACACATGTAATTCCATGTTGTTTTGTTATGTCTATCGGTTAAGCATGTAGGAGGAAAAAAGACAGTTTGCTTTACTTTTAGATCTTCCATAGTATTAAGAGCTCGGCATAAAAAAAAAGTACATGTAATAAGAGACTACTTCCACTCATCACCAAAACAACGAAACAGTGTGACTTTCATTCTTCTTTCTTAAATTCGAACATAGATCCTTGCCCGAAAGCCTTTCGGATATTATTCTGCAATTTAAAGCAAACTGCTGTGAAAAATAAATATATTTTATCATTTAAGAAGTTTTAAAAACACTTGTATAAATAAATACATATGTTAAGCGTCTAATAAAAGCATGAATGAAATCAATGACCAATTGCTCATTCTTTTGAAACGTACCCTTAGACAACATTATTGTACAAATATATAAGGTGAAGTCCAGATTTTAATTTCTGTATTTCCTTTCTTTCCGAAAAAAATATTTTGTTGTTTGTTCCATTTTTAACAATGATAATAATAATTGTATGTTTATCCTTTATTTGAAAAGAAATCATGTATAATGCATTTTAATAAAAATACTTATCAGTCGAGAAGAGCTAAAGATTTTTTAAAATGCAAAGCGGAATGTTCTGTACTTACTCAGTGAAGGATTTTATTATTTTATTGAATGACATTAATAAAAAATAGCTTTATATAAAAATAAGTTATTAAATTTCCTTTTACAGAAATGTAATATTATTTTCTTGTTCAATTTCACAATAGGATAAACAAAGGCAAAATTATATATTTAGTTTTAAGTGCAGTAGTTTTCGTAAATTCCCCTTCTTTGTCTGTTATTCTTCAAGTGCGTCTTCTTTTCGTCATCGCGCGCTTGTAATCAATCCTCTTTTCGCAACCAATCAGAACGATCCGCGCGAAAAATTTATCGCTACGGCTGAAACCGAAACTGTTCCGGTCTGTCAATGGACGGTGTAATCAGCCACTCGTTGCTATAGTTACAACAGTAACAACTTCATTGAACGGAGAAAATCACGCGGTTCGTGGGTTGTCATCTTTGATACTGTAATCGCATTGCCGTCTTTCACTATGAGTAACAAGAGAGCTTTTCTTTTTACTTTCTTACAATAACAGATTGTGTATAAGTGTTAGGTTATGAAAATAGAAATTAAGGCAAGTAAATCCCCTGAAAGTATTTCACTGGTTCTAGCCTAAGCAGGAGCCAGCAGGACTTCCCTTCCTTTTCGGTTTTCTTCTTTTTTTCCCGTCTTTCTTCCCCCCCCCTTTTTTAAATCTCCAAACGATAATCATACAAAGTGCATAAGTTGAAACATCTATATATCACGACAAAATTGTATTGAAAAATGAGTGATATAAAGATGCTTTTATACTGATTTGTATATGAAATTATGCGTATGCAAATTCAAGAGCATCCCATTTCACTCAGTAACTACACAGTCGAAACACATTCGTAATAAATAAATACGAATTTTGATTAATAGATTCGATAAAAATGAAACTATATAATATCTTTAGACTGATTATTATTAATGCGCCATTTTATTTCATTATTCTTTGCAAAAGAAAAGAAAATGGTGAGTTTCTGCTGTTTTTAAAAAAATTCCCTCTGTATGCTTGGATTCGTATTTTGTTCAAATTAAAATATCGAACAAGCTAATGTATTTAATATTATGATATTGCAGTAAACAATGTAAAGCTAATGTAAATACAATTTTTGCAGTTAAATTCATTCATTTATAGCTTTCCTCAACATGGGATTAGGAATATTGAGATGATTGCCGAAAAGAAAGCATCTGTATTCCAATGTGATGGCTTCGTACTTGACAAAGTCCATTCTTCATCGAGCAGTACTCGATGCTCGATGAAGCTCGAGCTCGAACTCGATGCTCGTTCATGCTCGATGAAGAATGGACTGTCAAGTACGAAGCCATCACACTGGAGTACAGATTGCTAACATTGGGTAACATTTATCTTGGGCTCGATTCCTGATCGAGGAATATTACAGGTTTGCTCCCCGGATGCTTCAGCCATGTATAAAGTAAACATAAGAGAGATAATTTTAAACAAGGTTTTTCCAGGAAAACATTCTTTCCAGAAGGTGACAGCTTCAGTGGGTTTTTACTATAATAAACGCTGTATTAGCCTACTTAGTTGATGAGAGTACTTAAATCATAAGCAGAGTAATGGAAATCGCAAAAACAAAATAAAAATCATTGCATAATCTCTT